AAGTGCGCTATAATTATAGCGCTTACGCCAGCCAATCGGACGAATTTTCATCCGTTTTTTTGTTTTGTCGGTTGCGCACTAATGGTGCACCGTAATCTACAGCGGCCAATGTAACTTTCCTACCTTTTAACAAGACGCTCTTCATGAAGTGATATTAAATAACGCATACTTATTCACCGCAAATGTGGCCACCATTGCTAAACTTCCCATGTCCTCGCAATCAATAATCGAAAAATCCCCAAATAATTTCCCTTCGAAAATAATAATTCAACCTCAATGTCTCAAATTCTTGAGCATATCTAACCAAGGCTTCCCGGAGTTAATCTTACAGTCTCCTTCGTGACACTGTCAAGGAGCTTCATCTCAAAAAGGGCGCGCATAGTTATTATACCATCGCTATTCGCTACGGCATTCTTGATTTCCTCTCTAATATCTTCAATAAGTTCGGGACGAGTTACGAGGTCATACAGACTGAATATTAGCATTAGCTGATTATCAAGAATTTTTTCTCACATAGACTTACATGGATACGATTGTCAGCGCTGTCGTATGGATAGAAGCTAACTCAAGGTTCAACTGAACTGTGGATATATAGTCTTCGGCCAGGTTGAAATCTTCACGCCTGTTCAACATCCACTGAAGGATATCATCGGGCAACGGTTGCCCTTCTTTGGCCATATTTTACCTCTCAGTTATGACCGGATCCAGGAGCTCCTTAACATTTCTTCTGTGCTCTGCAACTCGTTTCAACTCAAGAATGAAGTACTGTTCAATAGGCCGCAACCCTGGTGACCACTTCTTCAGTTTCGGAGTTGCTGTGAAGATATCGACTGTGAAATTTATACTGCTGTCAACATACTCTTCTCGACGACAGAAGTCACTTGCGACAAAGATGCTTCCTAAAGCTATAGCAGTTATCAGTAGGTTGGTGGATGCCACGTGAACTGAAGTCCAATCATCACATCTCGGGAGCACTTCAATAACTGTGCGCCCCATCTCGGCTGCTAATCGAGCATTAATGCGAGCTGTAACCAGTGTCAGATCACGATCGTCGTACTGCAAGTAATACATCTATCTAAGCTATGAGTAAGATCGCTTCTACCTAGTGACATGGGACTTCTCGAAATAAAGGGGTACAAACACATCCGGGCCAACGTCAAGCCCTGCTAGGTGTCGGGCAATGGCTTCTGAGATTTCGTCTAGCTGTTTATAGCTAAAGTCGCCGTCCCACGCGCATACCGTAGGAGTATTTGGCTGAGATAGGCATTGCTCATGGATAAGGGTGTCAATGCAGCGATGACATTTCTATTCCATTCGTATATGTCTGATTTATCCAGATCACTCAAGAAATGTAATTGGTCACGTCCCCATGTTGAAATGGGTGGTCAGGGGACTACTTTCAGGTACAGTACATGGGATCTTGGCATGGAATGTATATATAAGAAGGACCTCCCTCCTCACTCATACAGTTAATAGACTAAGTCAATATTTAAGTACAGCTCATATACCGTATCTTTCAGCAGATTCCTTAGTCTGATTCTTGGAAGGTGGTATTAACTCTGGCTGTTCTTCAATTACTACGAGGTGTCACTGACTTGGTAATGCAATGTTTTCTTGCAACGTTCTTGAAGCCTGGATCTGTCAATTGATGCTTCCGAACGGAGTTCAGACCCGAAGGAGCGACGCTGGGTCTTTTTGCGGCTGGGACGAATTATGAATAATGACTTGTATCATGATCTAATATTTTCGGCTGAAAATTTCGGAGAGCCTAAGACCTCAGCCATTATTAGCGTTGTGTACCGCATAACCCATATTCGTGGCTGCAATAGCTCCTTAATCACGGTCTCAGACGATCATCTTAGCTCAAGTTAACTAGAATACGCTGTGGCTTTACGCTCTTTCTAAAAAGACATTGCAGTGTGGTGTAAACACGTCTGCTATATAATCTCATGTTTGACTGATAGATCAATATTCCTGTCTCACGCTTCCTCGAACCGATTTATAAAGAAAAGAAGTTTCTTCTATGTACTCGCATCACAACTTATTGTATTTCATCAACAGAGTAGAAAGCGACTCTTGCTATCATTATTCTATTTGCTGAAATGGACGCTTCTTCAAACCTCCTTAAGCCTTTGCAAGTCGGACGCTGTCGACTGCAACATAAAATGGTTCTCTCTCCTATGACCCGCTTTCGCGCTGATGACGACGCCGTGACATTACTTTTCGTCAAAGAGTACTACACACAGCGCGCAGCTGTGCCTGGGACTTTATTGATCACTGAGGCAACTGCAATCTCAACCCAAGCAAAAGGGTTTGCCAACGTCCCTGGAATCTGGGCATCGGAACAGATTAACGCCTGGAGGGGAGTTGTGGACGCGGTTCATTCGAAAGGATCATATATATGGCTTCAACTCTGGGCCACAGGGCGCAGCTCTGAGGTCGAGGTACTAACCGCAAACGGATTCGACCTCACATCCAGCAGCGCAGTTCCTGTCGGACCAGACGATCCCACTCCGCGTGCTCTGACAGAGACCGAGGTACAAGTCTATATCGATGAGCATGTGCAAGCTGCCAAGAACGCCATACTCGCGGGCTTTGACGGCGTCGAGATTCATGGCGCTAATGGTTTCCTAATCGATCAGTTCACCCAGGCGTCCTGTAATCAACGGGTCGATGGCTGGGGTGGAACGATTGAGAAACGCGCCCGATTCGCGCTTGAGATTACCAGTAGAATTGTCGATGCGATCGGTGCCGATCGCGTCGGCGTGAAGCTTTCACCGTGGAGCACGTTCCAGGGCATGGGAACTATGAATGACTTGGTTCCCCAGTTTGAGTACATCATTACCCGCCTTCGTGAGATGAACATCGCCTATCTCCATCTAGCCAACTCCCGATGGGTGGAAGACGTTACGCATCCTGACGCCGATAACAGGACTTTTGTTCACATGTGGGGAAAGTCGAAACCGGTTCTGCTGGCAGGGGGTTACGATGCGGCATCAGCGAAGCTGATGGTTGATGAGACGTATGCCGGGTATGACAACGTGGCTGTCGTATTTGGCCGATTATACATCTCTAACCCTGACCTACCGTTCCGCGTGCAGCACCAACTTCCACTTCAACCCTACGATCGTGACACGTTTTACCTTCCGTTCTCAGAGAAAGGCTACCTGGACTATCCGTTTAGCAACGAGTTCTTGGCATCAGGGTATACCGGGGATGTGCAAGGGTAAATCGTTCACTAGGTATACACCGGTCATTTCAGCTTCAGAAGATACTTACTTACTCAAATTATCCAATATTGTACTTGGCGTATGTATCATTGTCCCCAGATAGTGACGTCTCATAATCGAACAAAATTGTAAGACAAAAACTCGAGACCCTGACCTGTTTATTTTTCTTTTTTTCCATGTCCCTTTTCATCTTCCCCGTTTGGATGCATGATATAGGAAAAGCAATCCTAATATTTATTGATGACCTACCTAGATGCTTATATGTCCGTGACCGCCATAGCTACATCATCTAGGTATATGATTGGATGATACTAATCAAATTTCCTTTACTTTGGTACAAATCCGAGATTGCGAATGTACTTTTGCCCTTTAATATTCTTACCACTAATAATGGCTACAGTCACAGGTGGGATTTTCGCCGTCACGGGTGGACTTTCCGGCATTGGAGCTGCGACTAGCCGTCTTTTGGCGGATCGTGGAGCTGCTTTCATCTGTGTCGGCGATGTTTCGTCCAAGAATCTCGTTCAGCTCAAAAACGAGGTCAAAGAGCTCAACACGGCGACTGTTGTTGACTTTACTGCCTTGGATGTGACGTCTTCCCAACAGGTAGAGCAGTGGATACAAAACATTGTTACGAAGTATGGCGACCTGAACGGTGCAGCTAACATTGCTGGCATAGCCCAGGGAGCGGGTTTGCGAACGACCCCTACCATTCTTGCAGAAACCGACGCGGAATGGAATCAAGTCATGAAAGTCAACCTCGACGGAGTTTTCTTCTGTACTCGTGCTGAAGTACGAGCAATGAAGGACTTGCCTCCTCGAGATCGCAGCATCGTAAATGTTTCCAGTATAGCGGCTTTCTCGCACTTACCAGATGTGTATGCTTATGGTACATCTAAAGGTGCTACTGCCTATCTCACCGACTGTGTTGCGGCAGACGCTATTTCGTTGGGAATTAGAGTCAATGGTGTTTCTCCAGGTAAGTTGTATATTTGGTCTGCTTTTGATAGTTTTGTACTCAGCTGGTTCCGTGGGATTCATCGCTTACATTGTCCTAATAGGCATTACAAATACCCCAATGCTCCCAAAGTTTATGCCAAGTGCCAATTCATTCAAGGATGTGGAAGACTCATACAAGCGTGAGGGGTTTTCCTTGATCCAACCTGAAGATGTTGCAAGAACGATAGTTTGGCTACTCAGCACGGACTCGCGGCCGGTCTACGGAGCCAATGTGAACGTGGGTGCTGGAAAACCTTAACAATGGATGCCACGATGCAAACATGAGAGTATTAGAAGGGACTGCGTTGTGGTATCAGGAGCCGTATCTACGAACTAGTGGCCGCGAGCAGGTTCCGGGTCCATACACGAAAGTGCTCTTTGTCCTATCTACTAGTCACCTAGTCCTTGCTGGCTCTACCACTAGACTACAGAACGGCTATTTTGACGGAGTAATTGGCTAAATCGACAGGGTTTCATAGGTACCTATTAGAGATCTTAAGTCTGCTAAGACAATTGTATCAGAGCTCTCAACTTTTAACATTGAACTTCAGCACTAATGAACTGCTTAAAGATCACTGGCTATGAACAGCAAAGTTATGCCAAGAGGTGATTCATAAGTTTATGCCTGATTATTATGGTATAGGTTAGAACAAGAGCAGTGCACTCAAAAGCTACTGTTAGTCAAGTGGAGGAAACTGCATCACATCAAAGACGGTTTATGATCCATGGTATTTTGGTCTGGCTCAATTGTCGAGTCGTTTCTCGGTTGTTGGCTTTAAACCGGTAACATAAATTGGGAAATGACAATTTGATGGACCGTCAGATAGTTCTATTTACGACTATGAAATTGTTGTCGTCCAGTCAAGAAACTAATTTGCAGATACTAAAGACTCAGTGGCATCCCGTACTCGCTCCATCAGGTCGGTGGCAACCAATTGCAACGTCTTGTACACCTTTTCCCGGAGATCCCGGTCAACGTTGACCAAGGATTTGGACATGTTAACAACAATGGTGTTTTGAAACTCAGGAGAACGCAGGGTAGGGAGGATTTTCCAAAACTCTCTTGGCCACTTATAATCATTTTCACCCACGTCCAACCAAGCCTGAGAATTAACCTTTGCAAGCCACTCATCCAACTCTGTATCACCGTTGACTGGCTTACCATAGTTCATTGGGCGAGAGGCCGACACGAATCCAGGGACCTTGCCGTAGTTATCGCCATGCACGCCGCTGCCGTCACGGAGCTGAGGATTATAAGCATTCTTGGGCCTATTTACCGGGATAGACTGGTTATTTACACCTAGGCGGTAACGTTGTGCATCTGGATAAGCGAACATACGAGCCTGGAGGAGAGGGTCTTCCGACGGCGCGACACCGGGAACCAGGTGGGATGGTGAAAAGGCCAGCTGTTCTACCTCGGCGAAGAAATTTTGAGGGTTGCGATTCAAAGTGAGCTTTCCAAATGGCCTGCCTGGAATTACGTCGATATCTGGCGGGTAGTTGCCCAAGTTCCAATGCTTGGTCACATCAAAGATATCGAATCCAAGCTTGTCAACATCTTTAGGATCAACTACTTGCACGTTGGCGGTCCATGTCGGGTATTCCCCTCGCTCTATGGCTTCGTAGAGGTCGCGCGTGGCTGAGTCAGGGTCGTCTTGCTGGGTGTTCTTCTCAGTCTCTCCTTTTTCGAAATTTGGTCCCTTGTCTGAAGAAAGGAAGAAGTGCACGTATTTCCACGATCCGTCGGGCATGGTCCATTTGAAGGCATGGCCAACGTAGCCACTCATGCTACGGTAGTTGAACATAGACCCGAACTCACTATACAGCCACAGGACCATATGTAGAGATTCATGGTTGTTGCAAACCCAGTCCCACCACATATTGGGGTTTGCCAAATTGGATTGAGGGTCCCGTCTCTGCGCGTGCACCAAGCCTGGAAACTTGATAGGATCGCGAATGAAGAACATGGGAATGTTCAAACAGACCCAGTCCCAGTTACCTTCCTCGGTGAAAAACTTGACAGCCATACCCTTAGGGTCTTGCATGGACTCGGCTGATCCGCGTTCAAAAGTTGTTGTTGAGAAACGCGTGACGCAGGGTGTCTTCTTTCCCACACCAAGCAGCATGTCAATGTTGCAAATATCCGAAATATCATGTGTGACCTGATAAATATGAAAAGAGTCAGTTAGCCTTGTGTTGCCACGGTACAACAATAATGTTTGTTTCAAGGAATCTCCAGGGAGGACTCACTTCGAATTCCCCGTATGCTCCGGCACCCCGGGCATGGACGGTGCGTTCCGGAATCTTTTCTCGATTAAAATGAGTCAAAGACTCGATCAGGTTGAAATCTTGTAATAAAAGATGCTTCCCATCCCTCAGTGAGCCTTCCGGCTTCGCGATAGGGCACCCACTTGCGGTCGTGAGAGTGGGCGTTGGGATGTCATCGCGAGTTGCAGTGCCCGCAAGGGAACCCATTGCTTCTGTGCTGTATGGTTCCTAGTGCAAAAGTTTGTTGTTTGAGATGAGATGGTTGAGAAAAGACTGACTGAGGAAAGACTTTGACCCGGAATAGTTCGTATCACATCTGACTTGGTCGACTTCTCCTTTCACGTCGCGAAATGTAGGACTTCCTAGAGTCAAGACGCAATTTGCGCTGGCCATGGATTCTTGACCGCCTCGCTCGGCATCTAAATCTTAGTGTCATTTGCAACCTGAGTCTTCCTGGCGGTAAGCAGGCAATATTTCTGCAGTCTCACTGTATGTGGTATTGACTCATCAGACATACGGTAGGGTATGTTCATCAGACTGCTGCTAAAGCGAAGCCTACATATGATCAGCATTCAGATCTCCCAAAGCATACCCAGGTACACTAATGCATGTTTTCGCACACTAAGTGTAAAAAGCAATTCATGCAAATCAAGTTTCACAGGAGAGTTCATTTGGTATCCCTACGCTGTACCTCCCGGTGTATCCCCGTGGCGTATCTCCGCAATGTATCTCCGTGCCGCGATTCCTTTTTTTAATTGTCTATACTTTTGATTTTTTTGGACTGCATATGACTGGCGTGTAGTCGGCGATCACGGGTCGGAATGCTCTATTAGACATGCTGTATGAGACTGCCCTTGAACATAATGTGGCTGGCAATTTTGGTTCACAACCCCCAAATCGTCATCCAAGAGCTGTGCTATCTAATACGCCAAGGTTGATGACTTTTGAAGATTCTCTCATGTCTTTAATATATTAAAACCTCTACCTCGTAGGTGAGCTAAAAAAGAGTGAAATTCATTTGGTAGTTATCAGCATGGGTAACGATTGCGATCATTCAATGGAGCCTGGAGAATTGTAGGAATATCAAATAGCTATTTTAGAACGATGATGTGCCCCTCCACGAAATTATCATTCTGTTTCCGTTGACGAAACTCATTTTGCGTCAGGTTGAAGCTGAAAGAATGCAACGTCACAATTGTCTCTCGACCAAGTTGCAACGCAACTAAGGCCTGCAGCTTCGAAGAGTGCTTTCACTTCTTCCTCGGCATATTTATAGCTGCATCCAAACCGAACTTTCTCATGCTTGTTAACAATTATGTCATGTAGAGGCCCTCCAAGTCTGATGTCTTGACCCTTTGGTATCAAAGATGCCTCATGTCTGCCGAGGATAAAATTCCATTCACTGAGATAGTTCCATTCATCTGGGGAAAATGCCGGTCCGCTCTCATCCCCCTGGCCCATTAAATGATTCGCGTATCCTAGAGCAGTCAGTGCGAAAGGCACAACACCATCAGAAGTGTAGGCTCGTAAGATCTTGGTGGGTATCTTGCAACTGTCTATGGTGATGAGGATGCTGCTATTTTTAGGATTCTTTGAAAGTGCTTTAGTCGAGATTTGACTGAGAAAGGCAGCTGCATTCTCGCGTGAGAAATTTCCAATCGTCAGGCCAAGCAAGAGTATGTAGTGAGGCAGATCACGGACTTCTGGGGCGTCTCCGAGCCAGTGGATTCCGTCTTCGAAAGTGCCATAGAGGGCACCGAACCGAACGTATTTGAACATTTGCATCGGGATCTCCTCCATACTGTGGCGGAGCTGTTCTTCACTGAGGTCCAACGCGTAGTATGTGACCTCCTTCTCCTGCGCTTCTAAAGCTTGGAGGAGAAAAACTACTTTGTCGAGACTCCTTCAAATATTCATTCTGTTAGTTTCCAACATGAAAATGTGAATCACACAAGCAAAAGTAAGGTAGCGTGGCGCAATCAGAAGGCGTCCGAGGTCTTGACTTACGCACTACCCAAATCGACAATGACACTATGTTTAGCAATCCCGGATGCCATTTTATGAGCCTCATTTCTCAATATTTGCATCTCTTCAAGCCTCGGATAGAAGTCCGGTCCGCGCGAGTGTCGATCCCAGTGTACCAGACCATCGGAACTGTAAAAGAGGAGGGCAGGTAGCGTCTTTGGTTGCTTCGAAAGACCGTCGAGAACCAGCTTGGGAATATCCGTCTCAAACTTTGAACGACGAATATCGGTGACTGGTAGAGAAGTCTTTTGGTGCATGTTCGGTGAGCTTATAGTTCTTGTAGCAGGTAAACTGACAATGCTAAAATTGTTCAATGAACGTCGATGCTATTCCAAAGACCAGATGAGATTACCGGCGCTATATATGGCCGGGGCGAAAGTAAAAAAGAAAACAGGACAATCGGCAAAAGGGGGGATAATGAACCGGAGCTAGAAGTACCTAAGGTGAAGGACAGGGAGGGTTGGATCAGCCAATATGCCCTGTGTGACACTTAAACGACCTAGTACGAGATCAATGTGCAGACTTCAAATAGGTAAAAGCTGAAATTCAAGTTAACTAAAAAAGCCACAGAGCTTCCAGAGCTCTCTCCAAATAGCTCGGATGTATTCTACACAACCCCTCTTCGTCCCAATACTCACTCCCAACTCCCAATTTTGTGGTGAACAAGCCATCTTTATCCCAACGTCGTTTAACTTTAAGCAATTGCTGGTAATTGCTGCCCCAATAGAGATTCTGGAAGTTCTCTTCACTCGGAAGCCCTAAGTTACGATAAGACACTCTGGATTCTTCGTCCATCGAGTATAGAATGGGCATCTGAACGTTCGATAATTCGTTCATTACATTTGTCTTCCCTGTAAAGGATGCCGTGACAGAACGTACGAAAGTAATTAGTTGAGCAGAGGAACGCCACGCTGGATGTAAAGAAGTTTTCCCCACCTCAAGCTCGTTTACGTGACCTCCCAAATTACTTGTGAACAAAATGTCTCCAGGAGACATTTGGATTTTCACTAATGTCTCTGCCAACTTTGCAGGCCATTCAGGAGTTCCAAACACTTGATTTGAAACCAGAAGGGATCCCGAAAGTATTCCATAGTTCTCGGGATATATATCAGCAGCCTTCCGAAGACTAAAGCTACCCTGAGCCAGCCACTCTGAAGATATCGAACACACGAGTCCCGCACTGCCGTCCGGACACTTGAAGCTTGCTCGCGTCTGCTTCTCGGCCATCGAAGTATCAGTTGTGTTCGGGAAGTGGACCGTTAGACTCGCTAGACCTGAGCTATTGGATGAGCGTTGTAGAAGGAACTGCCCAGGATAACGATTCTTGTTCATTGTTTGTAGAGTCGCCAACAAGCGACTAATTGCTTCGGTCCATTCAATGTTACTTGTTTTCTCTGATGAGATAGATATCGTAGTTGATGTTAGTGGATCATCTGGGAAGAGGCGTACGGTCGCCTGCGTGACGATGCCGAATGTACCACCGCCACCACCTCGTAGTGCCCAAAAGAGATCTTGATTTTGATGCGCATTCGCAACAACAACTTCGGCCTGAGGCAAAATTAGCTTCAGAAACTGGAAGGAGGAGCATCGTTCCCTAGTTCTTCATACCTCTGCGGTAACTACCTGGTATTCCAATACATTGTCTATTGCCAGTCCTCTAGCATAGCTGAAAAAGCTTGACACTCCACCGCCTTGTAAGAAACCTCCCACGGCACCCACACTTGGACACTCTCCCCCAACCAGGGATAACCGTTTTGCAGCCGCTTTCTCATATACTTCCCATTGCATCACGCCGGCGCCTATAGTTACGGCGGGACCACCCGAGCTCTCGGTAGCTCCTTGAGCTAGGAAGTCCTCGTGAAACTCGAGATTTTTCAGTTTATTGGTATGTATCTGAAATGATGATGGCCCGCTTGATCGTCCGGCTCCATCGTGCCCTGTGTTCTTTATCACTAGACGGAGATTATGTTTCTTGGCGAACAGTACAGCTTTCTGAATGTGAGAAGCGGATCGTACTGAAGCAGAGTATAGAGGTACTCGGCCTTGATGGCAATTGGATTCTGGGTCTGAGAAAATATGGCATGATTCGTTCTGGAGCTTGCCACCCTCCCAAACCCAGTCTTGGAGCGAGGCTATCGCATTGGAGATAAGCTTCACCTTTGTGAATTACTAATTACCGGAACTTACCTGGTTGTGCTGCTCTCCACCCACTATCGAGAGACAGACGTTTGAGATCTTCGCAGGCACGGCGATCAAGAGCTAGGTGATGACACACGTGTCCGATAGGCTTCAAAGGGAGGAGGTTGCCGTCGACGGAATTTTGCAGGGTTGCCCATTCGGCTTCATTTGGCCAACATGGTTCAAATGGCCTGCATCTACAAGGCTCCTGGGTAGGAATCAAGAATGATATAATGGTCAGGCCAATTCCGGCAACCACAGTAAATGTACGCAGCATTTTTAGGAGAGTCGACAACTACCAGGATTCGACTATTAAGAGTGGATATTGCAAGCTATGTAAGGTATCTATGTTTTATGAAATTCAAATGAGCGTCCATAGGTATTCAAAAGTTCAGCCTCTGTTTACCTCGCGTCACGGAATATGCCATATCGAAGAATTGATACGAGGAAATGAAAAGAAACGTGACTCTCCTTAGTATACAGAAGGCCAGATTGGGGGGCCCTACGCATTCCATTCTGCTCGAATGACGTACTCAAATAAATCAAAACCTAACATAGATGCACTAGCGTACGGCCTTTTTCCATTAAAAAAAAGAAAAACTGACTGTGCAGGAAAGAAACTCGGAAGTCTGTCTCCCGTCCTATTCTAGGTAGCTCACACGTTCACTAGCTTCTGTCGAGCTTGATCTGTAAACTTTTGTCCACTTATTGTCTGCCACGTACTCAGGACTCCCATCTTCTATTTCTCTTCAGCTGTACGTGGCAAGAGAATCATACGCCCAAAAAGCTGTTTTGAGTATGGTCACATTCGCAGCATGGCGTTATACAGGCAAAACAGTCTCGGAATTCAGTGGCTTAACAGTTGGAATGCACTGTTTGAAGATCAGTCGATTGTCCGTGAAATGAATTTGTCCCTGGCGGATTCCCGGTGGTGGATCGGTGGTGAAGAGTTTATTTGGTGAAAGCTCAGTACGGCAAATATCTTAAAAAGCGGCGCCATTGGGGCGATTCTCTGCTTGTAACTTGTCACTTATCCTTAGAAACTTTACCGCCGTCTCCTGCACCGGCAACATCTATCATAGTCCCAGTTAAGAAGATTCTCCATCAATACCTACAACCCTCAACGCAGTGCTTCATCCAAAGCAGCCCAAGATGCCCACACTCTTCTCGAGTGTGAAGCTCGAGAATGATGCTTATAATATCTTGAGTGATGTATTTGACTTTCCGAATAATGAGCAAAGACTTTGGTGGCATTCCACGGCCCCAATGTTTTCCAGTATGCTCCAAACGGCCGGCTACGATACACATCTGCAATACAGACATCTTGGACACTTCAAGAAGCATATCATCCCATACTTAGGAGTTTACCCCGATAATGAGAATGACCGGTGGCTTAGCATTCTCACACGATATGGAACCCCTCTGGAGCTGAGCCTGAATTGTTCCGATTCACTTGTCCGATACACATATGAACCTATAGATGAAAAGACGGGTACACCTGAAGACCCCTTCAATACTCATGCTATTTGGAACGCTCTACGGAGTTTGAAGAAGGTCCAGCCAGATTTAGACACTGAGTGGTTCAGTTACTTCAAGAAAGAGTTGACTCTGAATTCCGAAGAATCGGCTCACTTGATGAACCATGGTCTCGTGCAGGGTCAGATCAGAACCCAGAACAAACTGGCATTGGACCTGAAGGGAAGCAAGTCCATGGTCAAAACCTATATTTACCCGGCTCTGAAGGCATTGGCGACTGGCAAGTCGATACAAACCCTCATATTTGATTCTGTGGGGAAAATGGCGGAGAAATTCCCAACCATTCAACCGGCGTTGGAGACGCTGGAAAGTTACGTCAAGTCAAGGACTGGGCCATCAAGCACCGTTACCACACGTCTTTTCTCTTGTGACCTTGTGGAACCGGGTGTTTCTCGAATCAAAATATACCTTTTGGAAATGATGGTGTCCCTAGAATCGATGAGAGACCTTTGGACCCTGGGGGGGCGTCGTAACGATAAGTCTACCCAGGAAGGTTGGGAGATGATCGAAGAGCTTTGGGAACTCCTACAGATTCCTCCTGGACTTCAAAAATATCCTGAACCATATTTACCTCTACACACCACACCATGCGAGCAGCTCCCGACAATGGCCAATTACACACTTCACCATGGGGAATCGATGCCTGAGCCTCAAGTCTACTTTACTGTCTTTGGCATGAACGATATGGCGATTTCCCAAGCTCTGACAACGTTCTTCCAGCGAAGAGGATGGTCAGACATGGCTCAAAAATATACGGACAGTCTCAGATCATACTAGTAAGTTTGAATTGCGAACTGTGAGATAGCAGAAGAACATCAGGACGCTAATGTTACACTCTATGATAGTCCTTACGATGATCTCAAGACAATGAATTGGTTGCACGCGTACATTTCGTTTTCCTATCGGAAAGGCAAACCGTACCTCAGTGTCTACCTACAAACCCTCGAGACCGGAGACTGGCCACTTCGTAAGTTTACAAAATTCTATTTGTAAATAATCTGAAAAGTCTAACTTCTCGTAGTCCATCTGAAATCGACAGGTGCTGCCTCGGAGTCAGCAAACGTGGTCGATATTCACTAGGAGCCCCTGATATTCTACTTGGAGTATTCATTTGATAACAAGGGAGATGTATCAGTAGGGACCCTCATTTTAAATGCGCAAAGAGAATTTTGCACTTCTCATGTTTTAGTTTATTAAAAACTTGGTGGCATACAGTATGATCCGAGTGAAATTATGCTTGATCAGTGAGTCTAATCTTGCTTGATGCCATGTACGAAATGCAACATAGGTTTACCTGTATTGGTAAACAACTCGATTCATTACACCGCCTAATCACCTACCTAGCGCTATGTGTCCTTCTGCTTGAACCTGATCTTGCTTTTCAGAGATCTTGCTTTCCCAGAAACCTCGTCTGCACCCCACCAGGGATTGTCACATTTCATATTACCGGACCACGCTGTCTCGGAAGGTTCATTTAAGGTTCTTATTTACCTACCTCTACGGAATACGTATTGCCCGCTCTGGCTACATCCATTCAGCTACAGCCGCACTGTCGATCACTTCCCAGACGGTCATTAACGGGTTGATCCGCGTAAGGCGGTGAATATACGCGCATTCCCGTCCCAGCCGTGTGGATTGTAGCCGTAAGGCTATCAACTACTAGCAATTAACTATTGACACTAGTTGCTTAAGGGCTGTTTCGCATTACAATGGTGTATAATACTTGCGTGAAATTTGCATTACAGTCGCAATGTCATCACCTGCGCAGCTATTGGCCACTAGTCATTACCGGGCCGCTCCGCTTAAGGATAGTTAATATAACAGAAGAGGTGTGCGTTTAGCTTTTCAGCAATTAATTAATCGTGCATTGCAGCGGGCATATTTTCGGTGAAGTGCACGGCCTAATCACGAGCTTCTCGATCTCACCGAGGGCGGATGGAGTGGCGTCCACTAAAGATAGTTTGAAACATCTGTCCTTGGCTAGGATAATAAGCCCCGATAATTCTACTAGTTGTATGCCATTTTCCGGCACCATTCCTACCCGGTCCGGACATGCCGTGCGGCTTGCATGAACCCGAAAGTTACCACCGCCAACCGGCCGCTAATCCGGCCGCTAATCGGAAAGCGGAGTATCGCCGCGGAACCAATCGGAATAGCCCTCCCTTGACCAAAGACATTTTGCGGACCATACAAGTCGATCAAATAAGTAAATACTTGATGTTACAGTCTCACTAGTACACTTCTTTTTTCAGCCACATATTTACGAAGAGGTCAAGTCTAACGAATTTAGTTGGCGTATTTCGAAACCAGGTGTCAGAAATAATTCATTAGTGGGATGTTTTCTTTTAAACCCTTGCTATATTTGATGTGCAGGCCGTGTGATCAATCCGTAGCTCTTCATTTAATTTTTCTCGTCGTTGCAAACACTAGCTATCGTACACAATCTAATCTGATTATCAGTCTACCTTAGAGTCTCACAACTACCAAAATGACCATTCTATTACTTGGTTCAGGAGGCAAGACTGCCAGTCGCATTGCACCGCTCCTCCACGCTGCCAACCTCCCATTTCTTTTGGCCTCACGCCATAACTCACAAACAAACCCCCACCCACACGCATACTTCGACTGGACGAAAGATGCTAGCTACGCGAGTCCCTTCGAAAAGGCGCTCAGTACGGGTATTGGCCCTATCTCGGCCGCTTATCTTGTTCCGCCACCCATTTTCGACTTGGCCCCTCCCATGATCAAGTTTGTGGACTTTGCACGCCAGAGAGGTGTCAAGAGATTCGTCCTCCTTAGTGCAAGTACTATTGAGAAAGGGGGACCAGCAATGGGCCAGGTCCATGCGTATCTCGAGTCCCTTGGGAGTATCGAGTATGCAGTCTTAAGACCGACATGGTTTATGGGTACGCTTTCTGTCTTATTTCATTCTCCAGGTAAAAATAGCCATATCTCACAATAGCGGGACCGTAGAAAACTTTTCTGCCCCAAACGAGCTTCAACGAGCTGCCATAGAGCAGGAGAGTCTGGTGTATTCAGCAACTGGTGATGGCAAGATTCCGTTCGTCTCCGCGAACGACATCGCCCGAGTCGGTTTCCGTGCCTTAACTGACGAAAAGTCCCATAACACCGACCACGTCATTCTTGGCCCCGATCTACTGTCATACGACCAGGTGGGTTACTTGCCATATCCTTCAACGACTTTTGAAGCTAACCAAGCTCTAGGTCGCGGCAATTCTTACTTCTGTTCTGCACAGGAAGATTACTCATTTAGAGCTGACCGAGGCCGAGTTAGGGAAGCGGTTGGAGTCCGCAGGCATTCCTGTAGACGATGCAAAAATGCTTGCTGGGATGGACATCATCATCAAGAATGGCGCTGAGAACAGGCTAAACGATGTGGTGGAGGCAGTGACAGGGAGACCACCGCAAAATTTTAATGATTTTGTTCGGGAAAAGGATAATTGGGCTTAGTGGAGTCAGATATTTGGATATTTTCGACAAAAGAAGTAGATACCTCTTTAGACTCGAATAATTGATCACTTACCTTGCTCAATTCTCTCGAGAGTACTTGATTGTTGCGACTAACCTCTTTGGCTTTTCCGTTGGATTTCCACCTTACTCTCCTTACCCTGACCCCGTCGTTTCGCGATACGGTAGCCGATGTAACGCCAAATATCCTCGCTCTAGCCTTTGCGAAGCTTTCTTCTGATATTCCAGTTCTGCAGCTGGTATTCAAGCTGACTCTTGCTAGTTGCTGTTAGATTGGTTATTCATGTGATTAGGCGGAAGCATACCTTGCATGAATGTTCTGAGACTGTAGCCACTCGAGTATATCTGTCAGGATTCTAGATGAGACATCTAGAACAAAGGAACTGTTCAGTACCTTATGTATAGACGAGAGATCTTCATAGGTAGTTTAGAGTTCCTTGCGGAACAACGAAGTTGTTTCCATACTGTTTCGTTCCACCTCGTGACAATATCGGAGTTACTGCGTTTTTCTAGATGTATCATAGTGCTTATATGGTGTTTTTAAAGCAGCCAGTCGGCTTCAGTCTTACGTGTCGGGGCCATCGTGTTATTAAAGATACTAAGGTAGAGGAGATGGATCATGAGGGTTATCAGAGATTTGAAATTGCAGGTCCTATATATAAGAATTCATTGACAATTAAATATCAAGTAAAATACAAGAGATTGATGGGCATCTCGTCGCAATCACCCTTCGAGTTATAAAAGGAAGTAATTCAGATACGGCATTCCTGGGGTTATAGATTCTTTTTCCAATTATTGTTTCTAGTATAAAAAGGAGACTCAAGGTATCCCTTAACTAAATATCGTGAGCATTTATCAAATTTATGTTGACCTCTTTGCTAGCAGGTCTTTCATGATGGCGACGAACTTAACATTGAGGCAATAATTGGGCTGGTGACTCTTGTTATTGGCCTTCCCGCGGCTCCCCTAGCACTATTTGAGTGGAAGCGTAAAATGCACCACCGATGTACAAGCCGTATGTTGATGTATTTACTTATTCATAGATGGGGGTCTTAAAATGTACCTAGCTAATTAAGCCGTATGATTACATCCAGGACAACTTTAGTATTTTCCCCAACACTCGAGTACACCATCGAATGAATTCCAGCGCGCAAGCCTAATCGAGTCAGGTGTCTCGATGACCTTAGGCGTGTACGCACTACTCGAGATTCATGGAGGACAAAGTTGAGAAGTGGAGGCCGATGGAGGTATACCTCGAGTAAGAGGTAGTCGGGCGATTAGGCCTTAACCGGATGGATGCCATGCTATTGTGATTATTCGTACTCGAAATACCCAAGAATTAAAATGATAGTCTGCTATTATTCGCCGAGTCGCCTATTTCTCACGCTACGTCCCTCGACTATCTCCTCCGAAAAATGATCTTACCTGCCCATAGGTACCTTAGGTACTTAATATTTGAGGTAAGTTCCAAGTGCCCTCTATCTAAAGCATCTTAAGGTTACTAAGTGTCATGTTCGTTAATGGAGGATGCTTACGCAGCTTTTCACGGCCCAATACTGCTGGAGGTTAACTCTAACTAACGTTATATTAGAACAACGAAGATATTTCGTTTAGGACGTTAGTTGGTATTGGCGAAACAAACTTCGGGTGGGTTGCCACCTGGCGCTTGGGAATTATCTACTCTCGGGACAAATGGAAGGGCTCTTGGCCTGAAATTCTCTTAACTCACCGATAATATCTAGAGACGGATAATTTCTAGGTAGGTATGCATCATGGAAGTGTGAATATACGAAAGTACCTAAATTATAATATTTCGTTGAGCCTTTCTCCATTTTTTTAACAATTCTATTTACTAGATACCCTACCCAAGTCTTACCGTGACGGTTGAAACCGCCCAATATTCCTACACTAGACACCAAGTAACATGTACTATAGGTTAAATTATAATTATTATCTAAAAGGGATTGTGCTTCTTACACGGGGTTCTTAGCTTTATCCTCGCGGAATATTTCTTATCTAACCCCTACAATCTGCCCCTTTATAAATTTACAATCCAGGTTTTACTCACTTTAGATGTTCTAAACTATGACGACTTCTTAGTTAAGAAATGTCACGAATAGACATACGTAAAAGATGATACAAGAAATGAGGAAATAATAGAGGTTAGTTAAGGTGGACTTAGCTATGGGTAAGACAGTGTGGCTATTGCATTTATACGTTAGGATAATACTACTCTGTCTCTCAGCATTTGGGAGGCTTGAGCAACAGTCAACTTCATCATTACTATTTCGAAAGATTCATTTGATATCTTGTTGCCTAAATCGATTGCAAGGTTCTAAATGATCCAGTCTAGGTCATTTTATATAGGTGACCAGGTACCTAAAGTACCTAAGATAGGGACGCAGCTATCTCCTAAATATGTGAATGCACATAATTTTACTTTGATCTGCAATAGATTTAACATAAGTAGGTACCTACTTAAGGCAAGCCTTATTTGTAAAAAAGTTAACAAGATTAAATGCCATATTTGAGTGGGTTTTCGTCAGGTATTTTACCCACGTACGTACCTCCCAGAAGCAAATTCAAGGGTAGAAGGGGATATGTGCAACAAGTAAGCAACCAATACATGTGAGCCCCTGAATTTAGACAAACACACCCGAAGCTGCATATGCGACAAGACTTCGTGTAATTGATACACACTGAACTATGGTGACTTGGGACGTGTTTGTCATGCCTGAACAATTGCGTGACAAAAATACACATCCCTTACTATTGTACAAGGCGCTTTTATCATTTCTTAAACTTTATTGTGACATACTAATAAAGTGAATAAAGTGAATTCTTCTCAGAACTACACATATATAAATACCCTTGAGTTCCAGCAATATCTCTCTCCTCTTAACAAATCATTTCCATATATCAATCTGCCTACCACACTCCACCAAGAATACCTGATACGTACCTGATTTATCTCAAGCTACCATTATTTCTATCCATCATGGAGGCAAAAATCATGCCCATATTCTCGGATATAAGAAAGTGCGTTGAGTCAAACGTTGCCACTGATGACATTTTGAGCGATGAGCAACGAGACTTGTTGGATCAGTGCCTCAAGGAGATCTCCGATTACTATTGTACCCTTGATATCCTAAGATCGGCACTAGACGCTGATTCTGAGCACTATGAGACCTACACTAAAGAGATGGCTGAGGGGAATGATCTCAATGACTTCATTATAGCAATCATAGATAGAAGCAACCAGCTGAAAGAGGAAAAATAATAAGCCAGTGGGAGACAAGCACCCATCGATATTAAGGCAACTCAATTAGAAAATACCTCTCTAAGGGGGCCGAAGTGGTTGGTGCGCCTCTGGGGAAGATTATCCCCCTTTTCAGTTACAAGATATCTTGTCAAGTACCTTGGGACTTGTTTTCTTAATTGATAATTATTGACATTTTACCCACTTTCAGTAACACTAAATTCAATGACATTGATCTCGACAAGTACGCAAGCGGCTCATAGTTATTATAAGATTTATTGCTATAAAAACCTTTGATATATACCGTGGCAAACTTAATAAAACAACTCATATACTTAAATATGCATGCATAAGTAAATAACTTAATATTTTCTTTTTATATTAATGGGTTTAAAAATTAATTATAAAATGTAACGTATAATTAATTGTTATAAAACGTTTTAAATTTATTTTATTATTAAAATTAATTAACTTTATTTAAAATACGGGTAAAAATATAAAAACATTTTTTATCGTAAATATTTTAATGGTTAAATTTAACATTTATTTAATTTATTTTTTTTTAATTTATACTTTTATAATTAAATTTTCATTTAATGTAAAAATTGTTTATAAACTTTTAATAATTTATTATAACATTTATTTAATTTAACGGTAAAACTTTTAATTGTTTTTAATTAATAATAAATTTATATTAAATAAAATGTTTATTTAATATATATAAAATATAATAAAATAAAATTTATTATTAAATAAATTTTTAATGGTATAACGGTTATTTAATAATTTATTATTAATAATTTTTTATATATTAAATTATTTTAATTAAAATATTAATTATTTTAATGTTTAAGTTTATAAAAAGTTATTATATTAAATTTTTTTTATAATTTAAATAAAAAAATAATTTAATGGGTAATATTTAATACGTGCACCACTTTTTAAACGGTTTAATTAAATATACGATTTATATATATAAAATTTAATTTAATATTTTTATTAAAATTAATTTTAAAAGTTAAAATAACTTTAATTAAATATATTATTTAAATGTAAATTAAATTTTAATACAATAACGCCACGTGATTACATATATAAATGTACGTGATTTAATTACATGATTTAACGATAAATTATTAAAAATAAAAAAAATAAACTTTTGTTTATATTTTCGTTTTTATTTTTGTTTTTAATAAAAGTAAAAATAACGGCGTTATAAAAATCTTATTTAATATAAAATTTAATAAATTAAAAAAGAAAAAAAAAGATTTTTTTTATAAGTTATTTTAATAATGTAATTAATGTATAAATAAAATAAATATAATAGTTTATTTAATAATTTATATAAGTTTATATAATAATAATATTTATTAATAACTTTTTTATAAAAAAATTTTTAACGTTTTCATTAATTTAATTTATTATAAATATATTATATTTTTTTATTATGTTATTAATTTATTATATTTGTTATATTATTAATTTATTATATTTTATTATATTTATTATATTATTAATTTATTGTATTTTAAAGTTTTTTATTAAGTTTAAATTATTGTGGGAAAATTTGTAATTATTTTTTTAATATATTTATAAGTATTATTTATATTTTAATATTTTTTATTTTATTTTTTTTAATTATTAATTTATAGTTTTTAAATTTTTTAAGTGGTGGTTTTGATTTTTTTAATGTAGTTGTAAATATAATTAATATTTTTTTTTTAATTTTTTTAAGTTATATATTATTTATTTTAACTAATTATATTTTTATATTTTATTTAATATTTTTATTAATTATATAAGTT